AAAAAAGAAAAGAACTTTGTGCTTGCTAGGCAGGTGCTGAGCCACTGAGCTATGTCCCTGGCCAGAAATTTTATTTTTTGAGTTTATCTTACAGTAAGACCCCAACTTATGGACAAGTTTTGTTCCAGGAGAACATTCAAAGTCAGATTCATTTGTATCTGACAAAGTGAGTCTTACACAATATACCTGTAAAAGTTTGCAACTCAAATATTTGTGAGTTGGGGACTTGCAGTAAGTTTCCACCCTGTTACTCCAAATGATTTTCTCAAAAAGAAATCCTTTTTTTCAAATTCTGGAATGTTTTTATTAAGTTAATTTTTATAGCTCATCAAAAGATTTGTTCATTAGGGTAAAAAGTAATTAGACTTAATAGGAAGTAGGATAATAAAAAGTAAATTATTTGAGGGGTTATTTTCTGGTTTTGTTTTGGGACCCAGAAATCTGTGGTTATCCTGGGCATTATAGCAAGAACAGTCTCAACACACACACACACATATACACACATACACACACTTCCCAGAAATTCTTAAAATAAATCTTCTAGCTTTTGCTTAGAGACCTTTGTATTCAGAATTTCCATATTTTATCACTCCTTCCTTGGATATTACCTTTCTTTAATGAACTTTATGTAATATTGCCCCTTTCTCAGGTTTGTACCCTTAACTGCAAACTCTTATTAAAATAAGAATAATTTAATAGCAATCAGTATAAAATTATTACAGTCATTCACTTTTTGAGTCTTACTATATATCTAGCCCTATTGTAAGTGATCTGTATATATAGTAGCTTAAATTCTCATTCTCGGAGGAAAATAAATCTTATTCTGGGAGGCAGGATTTTCATTTCCCAGGAGAAATGCTTTTGTCCAGTTTTAGAAGACAGTGACTGAAGCACAGAAAGGTGCAGTGACGTGCCGTAGGTATGTGCCTGTCAGCAAATGAGTGAATGTGCACATCTGAAATGTGACTCATGTTGAACACCACTGTGGAGGATGTAAGGTAGACGTAGCAAATAAGACATGGGGATGCAAAAGAACTTTTGCTTGACACCAGCTGTGTTTACACTCCTCCATTTCACTCTCCACATTCCCACTGCCAGAGCCCTTTCATGAGCTAGCTGCTGTTCATCCCTAGATTTCAGTTTAACAGCCATGTCTGTGGCGATGCTGCCTGTGACTCCTGAGATAGATCAGTACCTATTCCCCACAAGGTTTCAGAACCCCCAGTCCTTCGTTGGAGCACCAGTCAGTGGGAGGTGCATCAGCCTGTGTGCTGTCCCTTTTCCCCTTTAAAGTTCCACTGTAGGAGCAGCCCTGTCCATCTTCAGATACCACTGCATCTTTGTCACCTTGTACACTGCTGGGTGTGTGAAAGGTCCTCAGTAAGTAATTCATTGGATGAGTGAACCAGAAGTTAGGACAAAGGAAGAAGGAAAGCAAAGGTGTGCTTGCTTCCCAGCTTCTCTAAGTGCAGTGTACCATACAGCGATTACAGTAGGTGAGATTGCTACACCTCAGGCAAACAAAAAGGAAACTACAAACAGGATATTAATTTATTCCCTGGCAACAACTGCAAGCTGGCTTAGGGAGCTGGTTTCACTGCCATAAAAAGGCATCCAGGTAACACTGTGTTTCTCTTCCTACAAGTTTGGCAGTGGGTAAGCTTGTCAAAATGAAAATA